AGTAACATGGCATAAAATAACAAAATGGCCTAAGGTTGGAAGTAATGCAAATTGGTATTTATCAGCCAGGTTCAAGGACATCTGCTTCAGCATAGTGGAGAGAAGGAGAGGGGGTGAGAATATGTGACTTAGGTACCTCAAGCAACCTGAATGAGACTCGTGGGTAACTGGGTTTTCCTGTAGGAGTGATACAGCCTCTCCACACACAGCACTTTTCAAATATAATCACAATCATAGTTTGTGATGGGAAGAAAGGTATTTTGTCTTATTCTGCATCAGTCAAAAATCCACATTTTGGCATGGACTTCGGTGTCTCTCTGTTTGCTAAGTCAAAGGTTGGCACCGGGTAAGGTTTGTTTAGCTTCAGTCATGTGCTGCTTGTGGTCGAACATCAGCAAGCACTCCCTCACTCCTGTGGCTCATTTTCCCCTCTGAGTTCCTGGCAATAAATCTGTCAGACGGACCACTGAGCGTTCCTTTTCAAGCAGCATACGAAGTGATGGATTTCATCATGACACTTTCTCACATAAACGCCATTACTGTACTTTCTTCTTACTCTCACTCCTCCCCCACTGCCGCCACCTACCCCCCCATACTTCCTCCTCCGAAATCATCTTCCCTTCTGCTCTCAAGTCACATGCATCCCACTACTCCCCAACCCCATCCCTTAAGATCTCCCTCTGGGGCTGCAGAGCTGCTCAGCAGTGATGAGCACACCCCGCTCCAGCAGAGGATCTCAGTTAGATTCCCAGCATCCACATTAGCCAGCTTACAACAGCCTGTAACTCCTGTTTCAGAGAGTTTGGTGCCCTCTTCTGGCTTCTGTGGGTGTCTGCACACTCAACACACACACACACACACACACACACACACACGCAAGCAAGCAAGCACGACATAACACACAGATAAACTTGTTTCAGATAAACTATTGTTTTAAGAAAGATCTCTTCCTCCCTCCTCATGGTCCCCTTTCCACTTATGAGCATTGACTTTTCTTACATTTTGAAGACATATCCAAAACCCAGCCTGCTACTACTAGCTTCGCTTCCTTATCAACACCGCAGAAGACATGGAGTTGCCATGTTCATAAGAAACTGGGCAGTGGAGCATTGATCTTGGGGTATAAAATATCTTGGTGAGAAGAGGTCGGCTCCTGAAAATTGAAACTTTTCTTTTCCTTTCTGCAGGAAAATATTTTGCAGAAAGTGGTAATGACAGCCTTTGCGGACCGCACAGTCGTGACCATAGCTGTAAGTGACGTGGGTTGGGCTACTTCATTCCTCTGTAGCTTTGGTTCTAGGGGTCTCTGAGCCTTAAGTGTGAGAAGGTGAAATACACTCATGTTAAGTTGGGTGTATCTCTCCTGCTGCGTGTCATATGTACCGATGACACCATCTGAAATGTTAAGGACACCGGCTGATCCCATGCTGTGCTAGTTTTCAGCCTTGTGACGGTTCTCAGAAAGAACATCCCTAAGCTCCATTACCAATTTAGCTAACATTTATGTATGATTTCTCTGTTTCTACTCGTTTACCTGTGTTAAATAGAAGACAACGAGATGCCCATGGCCCGGGCAGGTGATGTCCCTCCATTAGGTAGCAGTGACCAGGCTGATGAGTGGCTCAGCCTCAGTCTGCTTGCTGGCAAGGGTGTTAGTTTTCTGCCTCCGCCTCGTTGTGTGTGGTTGGATTTTTGCTCTCATTGCAGCCCACTGAAGACTCGGTTTAATGAGGCACCCGTCCATTTCCCCTCGCTCATCCTCTTCTCTCTCTGCCTCTCTCTCCTTCAGCACCGCGTGTCCTCTATTGTGGATGCAGGCCTTGTTTTAGTCTTTTCAGAGGGTATTTTAGTGGAGTGTGACACGGGCCCAAACTTGCTCGAACACAAGAATGGCCTTTTTTCTACCTTGGTGATGACCAACAAGTAAACCGGCTTGATCTGCTCCTCCGAGGGTCTCGTCCTCTGGTAGATGTCTTGGCGGACTTTGCCTGAGGAAGGCAGGGCTGAGGCTGAGATTGAGGGACCGCTGGGGAGGAACTAACCATGGGGCACGACCGCACAGGTCAGCTTGCCCTGGTGCTTGCGCCATGCGTGATACTGACTGGGGAGCATGCTTGTGTTTTCAAAGACCGCACTTAAGAAGCAGGAAGCAGGTTTCCCCTCTGTCCTTGGGATCGGTGGACTTGAGGCTCTTTTCTAGTCACCTTCAAAAATGCCTCGTACATCACCTGTCCAAGAGAAGGCTTTAATCTAGGTGGTTACTTAGTGTAACTGCCCAGGAGCGTGAGCTGTTGGAGACCACTTGCTGCTCTTGGGGGAAAGCCACTCTCCAACATGACTCTTTCTCAAACTCCAGGAAATGACTTCCCGTGGGGCCCAGGCAAAGGAGACCACTCTTTCTCTGACTCTCCTAGTAAACTCCGTGGCTCTTCCTTCTTGATGAGGAGCAGCCTCGTGGGTTCATTCTCACCACAGCAAATGATCTAAGAGGCTAGAGAACCAGCTGATGTGAAGTACCACTTCTTGAATACGGATCAAGAACTGTCTCACTAGAGGCATTTAGAGAGAATTCCCCATTGCCGCTTCATGAATTGGGAGGACAGAGGAATGGAGGATCCTTGCTAACCCGGGAGACCAAGTCTCTGCTCTGCATGAAGCATGACACGGGTAGTGCCACGAAGTCTTTATCTTGAATCACAATTTGTATCTTTAAATGAAAAATTCCATCTTTTTAAACCCAATTTCTAACTGCATTTGTGGTACACATTTCACTATGCACACCCTTAGTGTGAAGGTCATTAAACTCCCAGCATCCCCCACATACCTAAAGCTCACAGGGACAAGGCATCACTGGGAGAGTCTGCAGAGGCCCGTGCCTCACAAATGGCTCATCAACCATAGGCCAGCATCGCACTTGTCACACGCCCCCTCCAGAACGATCAACAGCTCTGCTAAGATTTCTTTTCCTTCTCTGCCTAAAAGTTCCCCTGTTACCTTGGTTAAGTGTCCCTGAAACATTATAAGATATCTTTACAATGCATGTTTTTCCAGCTAGTTAGAAGGAGCCATCACGTGCCAAATTAATCTGTGGTATTTATTCATGAGAACTCTTTATTCCTCACTCTAAATTGGGTTAACTTCTCTGGAGCATTTTGAGATTTTCAACACTAACTGACCCCACGCTTTTTCAACAACGAAAAATAGTATGAGTCGATGGGATGGACACAAGTTATATTTATTTTTGTTGGCTAAGATTTTTAAGTGTTTTTATATTTTAATAAACATTGTTTTTGACTATTATCCCAATGTTTATGGAACTGTCTTCATAGACATAAAAGCCAAATTCTTTTTTAAGCCCCTCTGATATTTCTACTGGAGAAATAATATTTTTCTGAAGAGAAAGTGCATTAATAGCTATAAAGCAATCTGCTATGTTAATTTCTCCCAAATGTGAGGGAGTACACATGGCTCTAGTCTTTTCTGAAAAATGGACATTGGCCCCCAACTTCTGGCAAATTCCTAAAAATAGCTCATGGGTGACTACTGAGAACTTGAAAGTGGCTAGTCATGCTTGAGAGTCACTACAGATTTAAATTATGTCATGCATCTCAAACAGCAAGAACAGATTAATGGAAAAGGACTCGTGAAGATGTTTATATCAGTTACAAATCAAAATGCTAACAGAGCACAGATTGAGGATGTGTGTGTGTGTGTGTGTGTGTGTGTGTGCATGTATGTATATACTAGAGTTGCATTCAACTGCTTGTTGCTACTTTTAAAACACATCTCCCAGCAAATTTAAAGCTGCAAGAAGCTGGCTTTAGATTTTTATGGGATGGGCAAGAGTAAAGGCCACCACCTTTAGAATTTTCCTTCTAAACCACCAACAGAATTCCTAACAGCAGTCAGCGTTTATCATTTGCTTACATGTGCCAGAAGTGGTGTGCAGTTTCCACACAAATTATCTCACACTGTGCTGGAAGGCAGGGCCATCGTCGCCGCCATCATTACAATACTCGCCATGGTTGGTGAACATCCCTTGAGGTAGCCAGATTCCGTCTAGGGTGGAAACCCTTTGCCCTCTGAAGCTAGTGTCTCAATAACGATTCAACGATGATTCTGATGTTCATCATCTTGGTCATTTCTCTGTTTTTTTTCTTGATCTAACTGGACCCTAGTGATACCCCTGATAAAGCAGAGAGAGAGAGACCCACTGCTGAAGGACATTTTGATTATTCACAAGTACATGTGTGTGGTGCACTTAACATACGACATATGCTTGATAAATGGCAGTTTTATTATTAGTATTAAGTAACACCACGGCCCCTCTTCCAAGGTGGCATCATGGTAAGTGAGCCAGTGACTGATGGTGGTGTCCATCAAATAAGAGACTACATGTCAATAGCCCTGAATAACACAGTCTAATGCTGAGTTCCAGAAGAGACTTCTCCACGGTGCGGGAGGGGGGGATTTGCATACCTGAATCTCGCAGGGTCTCGCTCCTTCTTATGGTGTGTTAATCCAGAGGCTTAGCGGGCTCACACATGAGATAATTATAATCAAGAACAAAATATAACTGAACTGGTTCACGACGGCTCCCTTCAGCATTTCGTTGAGATACGTTTATTCGTGTGCCTAGTTGTCAGGTTTCGGTAAAACAGTGGCACAACTAACTGCACTAAAGTTAAGACAGAGCAAGCAGAACTGACTACACTGACTGTTACTTAAAAAGCATACAGAATAATTAACTAATACAAGGAGTGGCATTTCTCGGCATACTCAAAGTAAAGAAGCGACCCTGCACGACCAGTCTGTGGAACGCTCGCGCCCATTGTTTGGCTCGTGTGTGTGTGTGTGTGTGTGTGTTCACACCCCTAACAAGTCTTCCTGTTTCCCACGCTCACACAGCACCGGGTTCACACCATTCTGACGGCAGACCTGGTTATCGTGATGAAGCGAGGAAACATTTTGGAATACGACACCCCAGAGAGCCTCTTGGCCCAGGAAGATGGAGTCTTTGCCTCGTTCGTCCGTGCAGACATGTGAAGGGAAGCCTTCAACACTACTCGGATCTAAATGCCTGCAGTCAGCCCACCCCAGGGAGCCTCACCCTTGGCCTTCATAGGGCAGCAGCAAGAAACCTGGGCAGATTTCTGTATGGAAAAGTTGAAGCTTCCGTGTCCTGCTTTGGTTTAACAGTTTCCTAAGACACACTTATCGTAGGTTCACCAGGGATTCTTTTTCTGATGATCAGGCCGGGTTAGAATGGCAGGCTATGTTAAAACATGCAAGCTACTTTAAGAGGTAAATCAGTTTGAGTTGAGTCTGGGCAGTGTCTGTCATACATGGGAGTTGGAGTGAGTAATCTATATTACCACCCTCTTCCCCGGAAGGCTAACCTTGCCTCGCTGTTGGGGTGACCTGTAGGAAGAGAGTAAAAGAAAACTCATTTTTGAACGAGATACTCAAGTCCATGTATCCGCCTTAGAATATTTTCTGCGCTCTTAACGTTTTTTTTTTTTTTAACTTTTCCCCTTTTACATAATTTCCTGTCACCAAGAATTATCACATTTTTGGTACCTCTCTGTAAAACCAACCTCTTATAAGAGAAGGATCATGACAAGAGTTTGAATATTTGAAAACATTATACTTGTTTCCATTTTCCTCTGTCCAATAAACAGGAAGTTCAAGTTAGGTTCAGTCCTTTAGCAAGGGGTCAGTTAAGCTTTCTGGAGTTTAATTCTTTGTCAGCAAGGTAATGACTCTGAACCCTGAAATGCTATATTATTCAGGATCCAAAGGAATATAGGTAAATGGCCTTATCCATCACTCACACCATATATGTATGTGTATATATATATGCATATATATATTCATGTCACATATATGCATATATATATATTCTTGTCACATCTCAGCTGTATGCTAACCTTGGCACGTGCTCATTCCTCAAGGGTACCAGCTATTCCCTACAATACATCTCTGTGGGAGGGATTATACAGACAGTGATTGTTTATTTTCCACTTGGCAAATTTCACCCATAGACATGGATGACATACACGTGGCCATTTGTCCTGTTCTAATTTTAGTGCACAAGAGTATACCAGAAATATGCAGGATATTAGGTGTCCTGTTTCACTTAAAGGCGAACTCACTGAACATTAGCTTCCCTGTGATTCTAGCTACCACAGTTCCTGTAACCCTTGCCCATCTGCTACGAGCATTGCTGAGTTTCCTAGGGGGGAGGGGGATCTTCACACATTACAAGATCTCAAGGACTTGTAATTGATGGGGAATGTATTTGTTTCAAGACTTTATATGCTTGTATATCAACATATATATCCAGGTGCAGAACCCTAATGTGAGAAGTTCATGAAGATGGATAAAAACAGTCTGGATTACTTTGCTTTGTCACACAAATAAAAAAACTTCATTAGGAGAAATTAATAGTATTTGCAGAAAGCCAGTAGATCACAGTCATCACCAATAAACTCAGTCTCAGAAGTACTTCATAAAAGTTTGACTGACCTTCTGAAACACTGCTGGTGTGAAAAGGTTCTGTTTAGAGCTGAATATCCATGATGTTTGTTACCAAGTCACACCTCCTTCTTACATAGAGAGGTTTGCCTACAGACGTAGCCGCTTCAGGTGTAAAACTACACTATCCTGTGCAGAAGTGAGTCTTTGGTTCCCTAGAGCCTTTACTTGCTTACATTGAGTAAATGTTTATTTGCAAAACCTACCAAGTGAAGTCAGGGGTGATGTTCTCAGTTAATTAATCATGCACTAGTTTGTTTGTCTTACTTCCAGTGACAGGAAGGAATTTATGGGCAGAGTTTCTTTGTCTCAGCAGCTGCTACCAAGTAACCATTCAGAGACTTATTATTAATTATAAATGCTCAGACAATAGCCTAGGCTTGTCTCCAGCCAGCTCTTAAAACTTAAATGAACCCGTTTCTATTAATCTATGTGCTGTCCTGAAGCTATAAACTTCCCATGTTGCTTCTTCTGTGTCTGGCTCAAGATCCCTCCGACTCTGCCCTTCTTCTTCCCATCATGCTCTCTGCCTAGCTATCAGCCAATAGGCTTTTTATTAACAATGAGAGCAACACATATCTACAGTGTACAAAGATTTTTTTCCACAGCAGGAGTTTTTTTTTACTACAGGTTTAAAAAATGTCAAGGAAAGAAAATAATCTCAACAGAGTTAGACTTTACGTTCATCTAACCAAATCAACTTTACATAAATTTATTCTTTACTATCTGTAAAAAAAGCAATAAATGCAAAAAAAGTTCATAGTAAAATGACAGGTTATCGGTGTCATTGTGCAAGTAAAGGTAGTTTCCCTCAAAGGTTGTGACCATCCAGCATTTCTCACAATTCTCCTGGATCTAGATTAGGTACCATGAGATCTTCTAAGTAACTGGTATTATGACATGGACTGTGTCCTGTCCATCTCTGTGCCCTAAACAAATGAGTAGCTCCAAAGAAATATGACAATTTACCCACTGATTCTTTTTACTGCTAGTCACATGGTTGTTTACTCTTTCCTACTCCTTGTTATTCTTATTCTATTTATTCTCAGATATTAAATTTGTTTATTATGTGCACTATGTTTACTCTCCATAGTATGTGAGAACATATTGGCTTATCTTATGTAATAAACTAGTCCTTTTGTTTACTCAATTATGGTGGGTTACGTTTCTTCTGAAAAGTATTCCATTGCGTGTAAGCCAACATACTTGCCAGGCAATACCTGGCCTGCCTGCCTTCATGATTTCCAAGAGTCATGCATGTGTACCATCTACAGACTTCAGAACTGTTTCCATTGAGTGGACAATGCAATCTCTCCTTCTTCTTCTTCTCCTCCTCCTCCTTATTCATTTTTATTTTTATAACATCTTGAAGTTATAAAAGTGTTTCCATGACTGGACTTTTCCCAAATGTTTATTGACTGATTCTTATGATTTTTCTTTTAACCTGTCCCTTGTCACTTTCTAACAGTCTTTGGATTCTGACTGTCAGCTCCCATACTGACCCACTGTCTAAAACTACCTGACACTTATTAGAAGGAGAAATACCAGCTAAAAGGATGCACCTGGAGCTTAACATTCAGTAACTGTATGTTATTAACATCGTGGATTTATTAAACATCGGTAGGGTTCACTGGCTCAAAGTCACCAAGGAAGAGATTTTATGTATTTCTAGCAAGTGCCTCAGATGAGATTTACATATAATTGGCCAGGTTTGGGTTAAGTCACCTAAACCTGCCCCGAACCCTTCTCTGAGCCTTGAACTCATGAATTATCCTCCTCTGGACTCGGCCTCCCAAGTGCTGGGTTTCTGTGCCTGCAACGCCATGCCTGGTTGCACCAGCTTCTCTTGTCAGTGAAGTCACCCTACCCTGAATTGCTCAGACTTTTCCACGTCACAGCATGCGTTGTTTTGGTTCCTCGCCGATGCACTCTTGTTTTGAATCTCATCTGTGAAGATAGCCAGGGCGCCCAACACCGTTTCCTTTAGATTTGTCGTTTAACCATCAGTGGGAATTCTGAGCATGAATTTTTTTTCATGAGGATTCCATGTGTGCTGCTCACATCTGAGTTGGCTACTGAATCCTTTGCTTGTGGTTCTTCTGAGTTTGAGTTCCCAATGTGTACGCCATGTACATGCCATGTGCATTTCCGGAAGTAAGCGTGGACAGCTGTGCCTGGCTTGCGGGTGGTGGGCTGCTGCTGACACTTCCTCGTTTCCCAGCATGGAAGGAGTAGAAGGTATCCTGAGAGTTGTTCTCTTTCACTCTGCCACTTTTCTTTCTTCAGACACCATCTTTACATGTCGACGAACTCACGCCGTGTGTCTATGATTTGAGTCACCTCTCCTTGTATGCCCTGCAGCAAGTTTCTACTGGCATTTCACCCAATAGTCACCATATTCTGTTTCTCAAAGGCCAGGAGAGCCATGTCAGTCAGAGCTGGGGGAACTGGGGGACATCAGGGCTCAGGAACACTGTTGATGGACAATTTTGCCCTGCATCGTCTAAGTCAAGGATTTGCCTCTGAGGTCAAGGCTGTGGCCAGGTGGTACACAGCGACCAGAAGTAAAGTCTGGGGTCAGAGGGATGACCTGGTGGTTAAGACACCCGAGTCCAGGTCCCAGCATCTGTGCTGGATGACTCACAGCTACCTGTCACTACAGCTTCGGGAACCCACTCCCTCCCCTGGACTCTGTGAGCACTTACTTGTACCCAAATGTACACACACTCTTTCTTCCCACACGTGTGTACACTCAACTTAAAAGAAAATAAACCTCTCTTTTAAAGATGTAAAGTTTTATGTGGAGAAAAGCTTAACACAAATTAGAGGTGACACAACAACCAGTGATCTCAGAAAACCCAACGTACAAACAGCAGTTTTAAGAAGGGAACAGTACACTGCACTGGCCACTGATTGCACTGCTCTGGCCACTGATTGCACTGCATTGGCCACTGATTGCACTGCATTGGCCACTGACACACTGCTCTGGCCACTGATTGCACTGCATTGGCCACTGACTGCACTGCATTGGCCACTGATTGCACTGCATTGGCCACTGACACACTGCTCTGGCCACTGAATGCACTGCACTGGCCACTGATTGCACTGCACTGGCCACTGACGCACTGCACTGGCCGTTAATGTACTGTACTGGTCACTGACTACTTTCATTTTTTAGAGGGAGGAGTGTTTAAGAGGGAAAATCTTTCCTGTTCTGCTTGTCACATGATCTCATAAGCTGGCTGACAAAAACTTCTATTCCAATGTCTCCTGGCCTACCCCTACTATGGCTGGAGGAAAAGTCCAAAGGAGGATGCATTTTTCTTTGGAAACAAGAAAACAAAACAAAAATCTACCATGAGGAATCACCTCCAGATACGGGATTTTTGGCCCAAGTTTTACTTTCCTATAGAAATGGCTTTGTGCCACACAGCTCCCATGAGGCCTTTCTCACAACCATTCAAACAAGCGTCAACACACATCTGGAGTTGCACTCACCCACCACCGTAGGTTCCGACCCATAGGCTTTCCGTGCACTCTTCATTTCTCCCAGCAGCCTTCAACCCTAGACACTCAAAAGTGGCCAGCATTTAACCCGAACATCACAAGTCTGTGTCCTCCACAAAAGAAAGGGGGCATGGTGGAAAGGTGATAACTTGGGGTGATAATTGGGGCAACCCTTCTTCATTCCCACTTGACTGAGCTTCTAGAATGTGATAAAGTATTATATCAGGAACACAAGGCATCTAGGCCTTTGTCCAACAGCGTAGGGGAAAAATTAGCAAGCCTAATATTTCATGAGGAATTCTTGGCTTAAATGGTATTTTAATAAAACTTAGCTATGCCTGCCAATAAAACATAGAGATGAAATAATGATTTATGGTTTAAATATTATATAACCTCTGTAATGTCTGGTACCATCTCATATCAAACAACACAAGATAAATAAAAATCATTGGGGAAAAGAACAGAAGAATAATATGACATCAATTTAGACATTAATAGAATACATATGATAAAACCATCCCTTTAAATTTTTGCTGCAAGGATAAGAGTAGCTGATATATGCTGGGTATATATGACAGGAACCTTGTGAGTATGCTCTAGTTTAATCTTGAAAAAAATCTGTTAAGTGAAATATTTTTATCTCCTTTTATCAGAGAAGCCAGCTTGCCCAAGCTTTAGTGGAACTGGCTGAGAGGCAAATTCTAGCAATCCGACTTTAAGACTATATTATTAACCATGGGATTCACTGAAGACTAGACTAGACTAGACTAGACTTGTGAGTTAGTGTCTCTTGACAATCAGTAATTTATCTTGTATGTGGTATACAGTAAAAAAAAATGACATGTGACTCTATTTGGGACAGTACTGACAGGGGACTAGAGGAAATTAGAAGACTGGGTTATATGATATTTAGCTTCCATCGCTTAGTGGATATGCAGTATAGCATTTCTCAGTTGAGTCTGCATTCCTGTTTCTTCATTTGCTAAAAAGGAAGACTCAAGCATGCGACAAACTGCTTCCTTTGCAAACTGAGCTTCATTCACCACAAGCGATTGCAAAATGAAAACATGATTACAAAACATGCTCCAGTATAAAATATTAGTAATGAGACTTCAGGACATACACTGCATCCTATGGACACATCTGACCTTTTCTAGTCACAGGATCAATTTCTCTTCTAAAATAAATTTGTAGCCATGCAGGGGTGGTACATGACTTTAATCCCAGCACTCGGGAGGCAGAGGAAGGTGGATCTGAGTTCCAAGCCAGCCTGATCTACAGAATGAGTTCCAGAACAGCCAAGGCTGTTACACAGAGAAACACTATCTTGAAAAACCAATTTATTAAATAATAATAATAATAAGGAATTGATATCCTAAATCTGTAGTGGTGAAGTCATATATCAAGGTGAGACATTATATAATTATATCTCATACTATAAATGCCCCTGAGGTTTTGATAAGGACAAACAATATCAATGTGTTACAGAAATGTGTATATTTCTTATGGAATGACAATAAAAACATCACACACTCAAAATTAAACTGTCTGAGAAAGCAGCCTAGAATGATCTTTTAACTGTAGACGTATTTCAATGCGGCATTTTCTGGACACAATAGGCAGCTGAGCTGCACATACAAGGCCACAGTGGCTGTGACAGAATGCACAAGAACTGTGCAGGGCTCCAGTCAACCAGAACACCAGCTCGAGGAGGGAGAGGTGGGCGCCGGCCCCACCTCCACCTGGGACCCCGTTTGATGATTGATAGCCGCTGGGAGAGAGAAAGTCAGTTCTCATCAAGAATATGGCTTGGGGCAGTTCACGGCACATGGTAGATCCAGTAGATGTCCACATACCCAAGAGTGTGTATACAGGTAGCACTAACTGGATTCAATTGGCTTTTTTAAAAGAAAAAAAAAAACAGGAAGATAAAAATGAGGACACAAAGTTGGAGAGGTGTGGAAACCTTGGAGGAGTTAGAGAAGAGGGGTCAATATGGTCAAATTAACACATAGGACATTCTCAAAGAACACACACACACACACACACATGGCTGAGAATGTTAGCACAAGAGTTAGCAAAAATAATAATCTGTAAGAAATTTTAGAGTGTGTGTATTTGTTGACGGGTTTATAAAACTGTGCTCAGCCTGTTTCATCAGGAAAACAAGTGGAAAGAACTTCCTACCGAGAGACTGGCTGACAACCCGACACGGGCAAGGGTAGAGCCTCAGATACCAGTGAAAGGAACATAAATGGCACAGCCGGTTTAGAGACCTGGAAGGTTCTACCAGGACTAATTATGCATTTATAGCTTAAGTTGGAATTCCACATGCACACAGCTCAACAGGTAAAGCAATCAGAGGATCCGAGACGCTAAGCTCAGGCAGGTGGGGTTACAGCCTAGCAGAGGCAAATCGTCAAGGATGTGACACGGGTCACGCCGCCGCCTCTGTGTGGAGCTGCATCGTTGAGCAGACAGGTTCTTTTTGGTTAAATATTTATTCTCTCTCTCTCTCTCTCTCTCTCTCTCTCTCTCTCTCTCTCTCTCTGTGTGTGTGTGTGTGTGTGTGTGTGTGTATACATACATGTACTGACATGAGGACAAGTGCCCTTGAGGCCAGAGGTCACACACATGCAGGAAACACACTTGCTGTGATGGGGCAGGTGTGGAGGTGCATAGCTTTATTTCAGCATGCAGCAGGCAGAAGCAGGCTGTGCTCTGTGGCTCTGAAATCAGCCTGTGAATTCTAACAGTGAATCCCTGACCAGTCAGGGATATGTAGCAAGACTTTAGCCAGAAATAAGCTAATCAAGCCAGTGCTGGAGAAGCGAATCCTTGAGGTTCCCTGGCAGCCAGATCTGCCTCCTTGGCAAGTTCCAGAAAGAGATCTTGTCACAAGAGAAGGTGGGCGGCATCTGAGGAACAGCATTTGAGGCTGTTCTCTGGCCTCCAATCCACATGCACACACATGTGCATGCATCCTTGCTTACACACACACACACACACACACACACACACAAAATGCAGAGGTAGGTGATATCAAAGTTCTTGCAGACTTCCAAGAAACAGCTGATTCTGTTCTAGTTTGTTCTAATTCACAGAGAAGGAAGGCTCATCAGTTCTACAAAGACCCAAGACTAGTACCAAAAGCCAGGAAGGGTCAATTAGAAGTGTTTAAAGAGCCTAATCTTACATAGAAATCTTTCTTCAAAAATCAAGATCAATTGTTTAGAAAGCAAAACCCAACACATTACATAAAATAATAGCTCATCATAGAAAACAGACTCAATCTCAGAAGTGTAAAAACAGGGCAACATTTTTAATCTAGTGATTTAATTCACAGTGTTAACTGGTCAAAACAAGAGTCAGTTAAACATGCATTTGGCATAGTTTATTTCACTCTCAATCACTGATTAACAACTAAAAAAACTTAAGACACATTATGTCAAAATGAATTACATGTAAGTTCTTTGCTCTGGAAGATTTCATTAATGCCACAAGCAGAAAGCCACACTAGTCACCTCTATTATTATTTATCATTGATTAAAACTACTGATAATAAATAATAATTTACATTGCAAGCAATGAAACAAGTTAAAATAAAAATATATTAAAAATTAAAATTAAAAAATACCAAATAAAAGCTGTGATTGTTTTTCAGTAATACCATGTTACAGACATGCTGGTCACTTCTCAGCCCTCTGTGTTCTCACCTCTGAGAGGTGGAGCTCAGTGTCTCTGTTTTACCAAAAGGGAAATAAAACTGGGTGACTACAAGCCCCAACTGGGGAAATGACAGGATTGGTTTCTAAGCACAGTCTCTTGTTTTGTTTTTCCAGAGCCAGGAATTGAACCCAGAGCTTCATGCATGCCAGGCAAGTGCTCCGCCCCCGAACTACATTCCTAGCACCACCTGAATCACAAAGTTCCCTCACCCCAAGACTCTGTGAACTTAACCAGTTACCCTCCTGCAACTTTTCAACGGCAACAGCAGAAAACAAACTAAACAAACTGACCCCAAGAAAACCTTTTAGGCTCAGATAATCTCTACCTGAAGTAAAACCCCTGCTTTAACAGTAGAAAAGAAAACCCCTAACTTTCTTGGGCTCAAAGCTACAAGTCCTTTTAAGTCTTTCAACTGCTGTAGTCCCTTCTGAGCCTGGCATTTTTTGAAAGGTGGTGATAAGCAGCCGCTCACCAAGGAGTTCTGGGAAATGTCAGGTTCTCTTTCCAGGCATTGCATGAGTCATTGGGTTTGGAAGCCCAGGATAGAGAAGGACATCTTTGGAAATCTCTCCCGAAGTGCTGAGAGCTCCCACTACAGAGCACAGCCTGGGTTCATGCAGATCCCCCCACCCCAGCCCCTGCCTCCCTCTCTTGTACACTATAATATCAATACCCAAGTATTGGACACATCAACAGCTAACAGCATCGATTTCTCATTCCTTGGGGTGTGGGATCCCAGCTTTGTTTAGAACTAGCGCTTTGTAGCCTCCATGTAGAAAATGCTCACGGATACTCTCTCCTTCAAGGAACCAATTTTCTCGTGGTGACATTCACAATTCCAGTAAGACAGACATAGTGATGTCTGAGTTCTTGTCTCATTACAGGTTGGTTCCTGTTCAGTATCTGGCATCAGTCAAATTTAAGAGCTGTGGAAGCACCAACACGAGTATTGATTATATACCATCCTCAGAAGGTTTGGGAGAGCTCAGAAATAACACCCTGCTCTATAAAATGGGAATACATTGTCCCTTGTTTTCTCAGCCTTAGATTAGAAAGAAAGGTGATAATGGAAGGAATTTCCCTCCCTTCCTACACTCACCTCTTGCTCTGGCTGCTTGGCCAAAACCAATTATCACATTTTAATAAGAGTTCATAGGGCAGGCACTGTATACAGGATAACTTGTCTTACCTTTGAATGTATCCATCTTCTTCTGTTCCTGCAGCAAAAGACCTAGAGTTAGATACATGTTTAAGAAAAGGGGGTTTATTTGGCTGTTTGGGGACTGAAAAGACAAGATGGAGTATACTTGCAGCCCCATCTCTGGAGAAGACCTCAAGGAAGGCACTCCATTCACCCAAGACCACAAGATCACATGGGGCATGAAGCCAGAGATTCAGAGCAGCCTGCTCTCTTGGGAACTATCCCGATCCTCAAGACAAGCCTCGGTGCCTGTCAGCAGAAGAACGGACACAGTACACATACAGAATGAAGTTTCATTCGGTCATAAAGAGACTAATGCAATGGGTGAACAGGACACCTGCACTCAAATCTGATGGCTTGAGCTCAATCCACAGGACCCATGTGGTGGACAGAGACCCAACTCCCCAAAGCTCTCCTCTGACTTCCACACACACGCCACGGCGTTTGTCCCCATCCCCCCCCCACAAACTAGTAATGAAAATGTTTGTAAAGAATGGCACTGTGTCATTTGTTTAAAGAAATGAATGGAAGTGGAGATCATCATACTGAGAGAAACAAACGCAGACCTTTCTCTCAGACAGAGGACAGGGATGGAGGGAGAGGGGAATACGGACAAAGAGGAGACAGACTTCAGGGAATATGCCTCTATGAAACCTATCCCTGTACAATGAATACATACTCATGAAAGTTTTAGGAAAACTGACCAACAGTAATTATCTTCTGAGGACTATGCCTTCAGGACTTACCCACCTCCTAAAAAACTCCCTCATTCCAGAGGCTAGGGAAATGACAGTCCATATGAGTGCAGAGCAACTTTGAGGACTTGTGCTCGGAGGTCCAGTGCCCAGATAAAAAGCCAGGCAGGTGGCATGCATTTAATTCCACGGATGGCAAACCAGAGATGGGAGTATCCTTGGGGTTCACTAGTCAGCTAGCCTAGACTAATTGATGAGCTCCAGACCAACGAGAGACTAATCTAGAAAAATGAGTTGAATGGAGTCTGAGAAACAACACCTAAAACTAACTTCTGACCTCCACACACATGCACACACATGTACTGTGCACCTGCACACATATATGTGCACATACAACATAAAAACAGCACACCCGCACTCACACATATTCAAAGTATTTCTCCATCTCTCACTGTGCCACACCTAAGACCAAGCTGCCGGCCCGGGAACTCTTGAAGGACACATTCAGACTGTATCCAAACCACAGCACCCTCACCCTAAACTGAAACTTCTCACATCTCTGGGATAGTGTGTTGTGCTTCACGTTACCGGAAGAATTTATACCTTCTCATTAAAGACATTTTAATCCGTGCTCAAGATTTTATTCTTGTTTTGTCTCTGGCCAGGGAAACCTCAGAGGAGTATAAAAACACATCGCTGGGCGTTTTCCATGTAGTTGGACCATGGATGGAAAAACCACTCCTCAGAAAGACTGGCCGGCGGGAAAAGCACTGTAAGAGCAGACGGCGTTCTGAGCCTGCCGCAGCTGCTCACTCACCGGGCAGGTGAGCTTACATAGGTTGCTTTACTACACTTTAAACTTACAAGGAATGTGAGGAAATAACCTAGTTCTCACTGGGTCTCTGGTTGTCACAGCCTAGTCCTTGGCTGAACCTCAGGTCTTACTTGCTGAGTAAGTGGAAAGATTGATGGACCACTCATGGGTGTGTCCTGCCTCTGTCTTCTCTGTCCTTCTTCTTTATTAACTGTGCTGCTCTCCTTGGTAATCTTCAAGCGTGTCAAGCTATTTCCTACTTCAAAGCCTTCATGGGAGCTCTTGAGTTCCCTGAAGTGCCCAACCCCCAGTATGGTTGCATATGCAAGGTCAACCTCCAGTAGACTTCCTCGGGTGGAGTTCATGTTGTTCTGAGAAGTGTTCACTGAAGCCTCATGGACCTGATGCTCTCAGATTAGGGTAGATTAGGCTGGCTGGCCAGCCTTCCCCAGGGGTCTTCCAGTCCTATCTCCCCAGGGCTGAGACTAGAAATGTGCCATCACAGCAGACTTTCTTACTTGGAGCTTGAACTTTGTCTGGTCCTCTTATTGCTAGGCCAACATGTACTGACTGAACAGTCTCCCCAACCCCTGATTGATTGTTCATAAACTTTCATGTTTCATAATTATACAACCCATCCCTTTTGTGCTTAATAGACTACAGTTTCCTCTCTTCCCACCTGCCTCGAGAGCAGAGTGCTTGTTTTATCCACCTAGATGCAAATAGAAGGGTAAAGGTTGTTACTAACCGTTCCCCTCATGGCTTTCTAACTCACCCTCTCTCCTGAGTTGGTATCCTTGAGTTGACCACAGTAGCTGGATGTAAGTCCTTATCGTTCGCAATTCTGGTGGATCTCTTTGACAAGATGAATTACCTAAGTAAAAGAAGAGAAATATTTAACGTATGTGTGTATACATATACACCTAGCTAAAAAAAAAAGTGTTTTCTGGATGCGCTAAAGCAGATACTGTGAAGAGTTATAGTGTCGTTCTCAATTGATGATAACCCTCTGAAGTGAGTTTGTGACATGATGTTTTGATTACTAGTTTATGTAATGTTTTATTAAGCTGACTCCAGAGCAATACGTTCCCAAGTGGCTTAGATGAGGACACAAATAAAGCAGCACACTGAGAAAATAAACCAACCACCATCCTGGCTGTTGATGCAGTTGCTCTGACTGTCATCTGGAAGATTTTCCAAATGCCAAAGTCCAAGGGTTGAAAATTCACAAGTCAAGTCAAAGGCAGAGTCGCCAGGCACAAAGAACCCGGCCCTCCATCTCAGAAGTCATTTCCAGGGCCCCCGCCAGCCTTCATTTGGTAGTCACAGCAACAGGCAGTTGAGAAAGACACCTCTCCCTTGCCTGCAAGTGCCTGACTGGCTTTATTTCTTTAGAGAGTAAGAACTTCGGGAACCCTTGCCGTTGTTCTTTTTTTTCTTGTTGCTGGGAAGAAATGCCTGCAAGAGCATTGTGTGGAAGGAGGGGTTTGCTCGGCCTGGCAGTTTAGAAGACACAGTCCATCATGGCAGGGAAGGCACGGCGGCAGGGGGGAGAAGCCACCCTGCATCTGCGGACTGCCCGGAAGCAGAACAGGTGGATGCTGGCGCTCTGCTCACTTTCTCCCCTCTCCTTTCTTGAACCCCAGCTGGTGAGGCATTGCCCATGCTCCAGATGAGTCTTCCTTCCTCTGCTAATTCTCTCTGGAAAATCTCTCTCTGCTTCCTGGCCGCTGGCTAGAGCCATTTCCGCTATGCAAGGCTCTTGGCCACATTTCACGGCTCTCTGCATGCCTGCGGAATGTCTTTTTTTCCTGCTTTTCAGTGTACTCTAGATAGATCTAGTTTTTCAGAGACTGGGTTGTTGGATACCAAGCAATCCAAGAACGTTCTTCTGGTATCCCAGTCTCCGCTGCTTTGCACAGAATTCCTTTGACACCATCTGATAGTTCCCTTTATTTAACTTTTTAAATTTTTTATTATTTATTTTGTGTGTGTGTGTGTGTGTGTGTGTGTGTGTGTGTGTAAGTGTTTTGCCTGCAGGTGTGTCTGGGTATTAGGCATGTGACTGATGTCTACGGAAGTGGATATTGAATCTTCTGGGACTGGAGTTACAGTTGGTTGTGAGCCACCATGTGGGTGCTGGGAATTGATCTCAAGTCCTCTGGAAGGGCAGCCAGTGCTCTTACCGCCTTTCCTATTTTAATCACATCCTTGGTTGTGTCAGAACTTACCAGTTCAGGGCTCCTCTGCTACCACTGTCTGTCTCCTAAGATCAGCAGCAACGACACATATTTACATATTCCCAGCTATGTAAACACATATTAGATGTTTAGTAACCAGGCATGGTATATTGATTTTTTTCATCTCAGCACTCAGTTGTGGACTTTCCTTCACACTGTGTGAATATAGGTCTCCGTGATTGGCTTACTAAAGAAGCTGGCTGGCCAATAGCTGGGCAGGTTATGGTTAAGTGGGAGAACCAGACTAAGGACCCTAGGAAGAAGAAGGGCGGAGTCAGAGGAGTCTACATCCAGACACAGAGAGGAAACAGGAGGCGCAAGATGAAAGAGGTGATACCATGTGGCAGAATGCAGATGAACAGAAGTGGGTTAATTTAAGTTCTACAAGTCAGCTAGTAACGAGCCTGAGCTGTTGGCTGAGCATTTACGATTAATGTTAAGCCCCTTTGTGGTTATTTGGGGACAGCTGCCAAGACACAAAAGAAACTCCAACCTACACTCAAGTGGTTGAGTCAGGAGTGTTGCCTTGAATTTCAGACCTGTCTAGGCTACATGGTGAACTACAGGCTAGCCTGGGTTGCACAGTGAAATCCTGTCTCAATGAACAATGATAAAATCACTTAAGGAAAGAGGAGCAGAGGTGTAGCTTGCTTGGTAGAGTGCTTGTCTAGCGCGCACAAGCTCTGAAAAACAAATCAAAACAAAAAAACAAGCATGACGGTGTGCACCTGTGACCCCAGCACTTGGAAGATACAGGCAGGATCTGAGGTCAAGGCCACCACAGGCTACACAGCAAGTTTGAGGCCAGCTTGTTGATACCCTGTCTTCTGGGAGGAAAATTTTGTCCAATGTTTTTAATGCTAATGGACAAAAAAGCTGCATGGCGAGCTGCACTACAGACAGTACTTCAGTGGAGTCACTCACGGCTCAAACGATGTCTGCTTTCAGGTACCAACAGCCAAAACTAAAGGGAGCAGAAGGACTTGCCACTGATGGGAATGGCCCTCCAGTCTTCAAGGGGTTAAGCAGATCTACCCACAATGGAAAAAAGGAGATGGAGAGAGCTCATAATTTTCCTTCATTAAGGACTAATTTTAGGTCTTTCTAGTAAATGAGCACGTTGTTTATACTTCATATAATCTCGACCCCCAAGTCTGGGAAAACATAAAATTTCCAAGAATTAAAGTTTCCATTAACACAAAGGCCCAAAAACAGAGGCTTGGCCTGCAGGAGAAAGCAAATGGGTCCCTCCTGGCTCCTTTTCAAAAGCTATAGAAGGATATTTACTCTATAGCCCTCTGGACAATCTAGACAGGAGGGGGGATTGCAAGTCAGAAACCCCAGCACTGACTGTGCCTTGATGGAAGCTGTGGTACTAGGCTGCAGTCCTGCTGATTGGAAGAGATCCCTGGTGGGGCTTTAGTCTCTCTCTCTCTCTCTCTCTCTCTCTCTCTCTCTCTCTCTCTCTCGCCCCCTCCCTCCCTCCTTCCCTCCCTCCCTTCCTCCCTCCGTGTGTGTGTGTGTGTGTGTGTGTGTGTGTGTGTGTGTGTGTGTGTGTGTGTTTAAGTTCCTGAGAGCCTTTCTTAACTGGTGGAGTGGTTTAGTAGAAAGGATTTCAGCCCTCCCGCCTCCTGTCTTCTAATGTGATGATAGATCTGTTCCGTGCGCTCCAGGGCAGGGACCCCACCCCACCCCACCCCACCCAGAACACCTAAACTCATTCCAATTGGTTTTATTCAATCTGAAGCAACCCAGCGATCTCCCAAAGTTACAATTACAAAATAATAAATTAAAATCTCTTTGCGTCAGTGAACTTGGACTCAGAGTTCTCTGAGCAGCTAGCCTTTTAAAGACCTGTGTTAGACGACCGGCAGCAGAGTCGCAGCTACTGGGAACCGAGCTGGCTTGGCGGGTGCCTCCTCCCCCGGTGGTCCCTCCCTCCTGGCCCGCTCCCTGACTCCCCCAGACTGGCCTCTGCCTCCACCTTCCCCGGCTCGCTCGGAGGTCTGGCCCAAACTAGGCGACTGAGCAGAGCACAACCCCCAGCATCTCTGCCCCCAACTCCTCCCCCGCCCTCCCGGAGCCCAGCAGCAGTTGGGGAGCAGGGGTGGGGGTGGGGGCACAAACCCATCCCTCGTCCTCCAGCCCTCCTCCCCGCGTGCACAGTGGATCGCACCTTCTAGAGTCTTAACTCAGTTCTGGAGGACCAGCATCCCCCGGATCTGTCCCTCGCGCGGTGGCAGCCCCAGCTCCCGGGATGTGAGAGTCAGGGACCCTCCCGCCGCTGTGCGCCCTGGGGTGCGCGGAGCTCTCGCCGCCGCGCGCGCTGCCCTGAGTCTGTAAGTCGCATCGCTTCTCCCGGGAGCACTAGGGGAAGCCGGTGACTTCAAAGGCCATAGCCCAAGTGCCCGCAGCCAGGCTCACGCCCCAGAATGCCATCGCAACCCTCCGCTGTGCTTCTGATCCCTGTGTCGCAAATTAGTTTTCAGTATGTAGTGTGATAGGTACATAGAGGGGAGGGGAGGCTAGGCTGCTTTTTAAAACGCGTCTCGTAAACCCTTCAAACTGTAATCTCCCAAGTTCGAAAGCGCATGGCTCAGTACCTTATCAATTACGGCTGGCATTTTCTTAATGAGCAGGAAGCAATTTCTTCGCTGCTACTGAAAAATAAGAATTTCACCTTTCCTTACTTTTAACCTTGCTACTTTGCTTAATTAGCAAGTGGATGGTGAACGCGGCTGGCTTTAATATTCTTCCTTGACGGCAGCGTGTGCGCCTATCCTTGCCCTAATCCCCGGCATGCTGCGGTGAATCTCAGAGTTCTTTTCAAGCCTGTATTTGCGGAGAACGCTGTAAGATTTGCGTATGTGAAGGCAAGAGCGCTCGGGGCGGTTGAGGGAGGGAGGGAGGGTAACTCCTCTGGTTCAGAGCAAAAGTTTTCTCTGGGTTCTCAGACTTCAGACTCAAGCTAGGTTCTCGTTTGTATTGTTGACCACAGCTTCGATTTTGCATGCCATTTCGTGTGTGTGAAACAGCACAAATATGTACAAGGACCCTAGGCGAGGAAACAAAGTCGACAGTTCTCAATAAGTGTTTCTCTGGTGTAGGAGGACGCGCGTGGTGGAAAGGAGCCTCAGGTTCGGGCAGGTGCGTAGGCGGGCTATGGTGACAGGAAGATGTTGGCCAGGAAGAGCATCATTCCCGAGGAGTATGTACTGGCACGCATCGCCGCGGAGAACCTGCGCAAACCGCGCATCCGCGACCGCCTCCCCAAAGCCCGCTTCATTGCCAAGAGCGGAGCCTGCAACCTGGCGCACAAGAACATCCGTGAACAGGGTCGCTTCCTGCAGGACATCTTCACCACCTTGGTAGACCTAAAGTGGCGTCACACGCTGGTCATCTTCACCATGTCCTTCCTCTGCAGCTGGCTGCTCTTCGCTATCATGTGGTGGCTGGTGGCCTTCGCCCACGGGGACATCTATGCTTACATGGAGAAAAGCGCCATGGAGAAGAGTGGCCTGGAGTCCACTGTCTGTGTGACCAACGTCAGGTAAGGATGAAATGCAAATGCGGTGAGGCCAGGGTTGCCAGCGACGTAGAAATAAAGAGCTCTTCCATGTAGTTGATTGTGAAATAGAGGCTTTTCATTGGACAATTCAGAAACAAAAACAAAAGCAAATTTGGGGTGCCGGGTAGAGGCTAGCACATCAAAAGTCTTTATAAATGTAGTTTCGTGGCTGAGTCTCTAAGAATGTGGGACTGCTTCTTGGTGCTAACCTTGGACGGGTCCAAAGGATTCCTGACTCCCCAAACCGCAGCTCGTTTTCATCATGAAGCTGGTGTCCAGTGCGCACCAGTAAACATCTCCAGTCAACCAAAAGTATTGTGCAAAGATGAGACATAGTTTTACGTGACGCGACCTTGATTTTAAAATATGCTAAAAATAAAATAATGGAAATAGATGTAAGCCCTTCCCTTTTGAGATTATTTCAGCATATCTGATAGATTGCTTTAGATTCAAAAATGAAAGCTTAAATTCAGAAGAGACGTTTTTAGTGAAACTTGGTCCAAGTTTTCACCGAAGGGGTTGAGTAGCAACAAGCACATATTGAAGTCTCCCCTTCCAAAACTCCCATAGGACAGGAATACGCCAGCTTCTGGGTTACATAAACTTGACTTCAGCATTTAGGGACACTTCAAAGACAGCTAACATGCATTTGATTTTCCTGTCTCTCCTTTGGTATTTCCACAAGATCCAAGAACATTGCAATGGGGCAATTTTTTCTTAATCTGTTTTGTTGGACAGAGATATGATTTATATTAATTGCAAAAATGTTCACTAGATAAAAACTGGCAATAATGGAAAAATTTCCAGGGTGTTTTCTGAATCATGTTCCAAATTCACATAGTTCATCAGGCAGAGAGAAACTGAAGAAGCATCACCCAGGCAGGAAACAGTTAAGGAAGAGACCTTCATTGGCCCTGGGGTCCTGTAAAAGCTTGGCATGGCAGAGAGCACAGCCTCTCATGACCTTGCCCGTTCTTCCTGTTGGCCAATCCAGCACATCAATGGGGGGGCACCTTAGACCGCACAGAGATCCCAGCTCAGATTTGGGGAGAAAGCAATGTACCACTAGACTGAGTCACAGCTTTACCACGGGGCAGGCTAAATTTTCTTTGGTCAAACTTTTGCCTCCGTGACAACGTAGGTAAGAAGCCCCTGTGAGCTAGGGATGCAGAGAACACAGTCCTGTGTGTAAAGCATTTGAAGTTAACACGTTACTGTAATCCAGTGTCTCTGAGTGACTTACCGGCATTGGTGTGGCTGCTGAGGGTGTTACAGTCAAACGAGTTTCCAGTAAACAGGCAAGAGATCCTGACAAAGGGAAGTGGGAGAAATGATCACCACAACCTGGAAAAAATACACTAATTTTACTCAAGACGATCTATTATCACTATGCATGAAAAAGAAATCATTTAGCAAGTTTAAGTATATGTAGTCAAAAGAGATAATTCATTCTATAAAGAGAATTTTATACTCTTCACTGATTCCTAAAAGCTGCTTCCTGTTACTTCTCATTTTATAAACAAGATATTCTGAAGAATATTTATTTCCTAGATGCTTTCCTTCTGGCATTGAGCCATGAGAAATGGTGTCAAAATTACAATGAAGCCAAGTTGATTTCATCAGTATAACAGTGTCAGCTTTTGGATCTCACTCCTTAGCACTATTTAAAGCTTTATTCTCTTCCTAGAGAACTTAAAAGATAGATAATAATTCTAATTATTTGAATTTCCATTCCTTTCATAAATTCAGTGCCAGTCAAACTATCAAATTTAGTAGTCCCTTTTCTCAGTGGCTGTCTTCCAAACATCCCCTGATCACTCTCATTTTAGGGGGACTGGTTTTATTCTGGAGCAGACAACTTTCTAACATGAATCAGAAAATAGAAACTGTGTTACTTTTCTCCTTATTATTCAGCTGATACACTGCCCCAGCTCTGTCTCTCCTAAATGCTTTTATTCTCTTGAGACTGTTTTAGCATGACAGGTGTCCAGAAAAAAAGATAAGATCTTATCCTTGATAGAGAAATTAATTTCTGTTTTAAAATAAGCATTATGAAAACCATCTCTGAATCCGTGGAGACAGACATTAGAGAGGGAAACCCTTCACTAGGCTCTTCTCTAACATATAAACCAGTATTAAATAAAGCTCAGCGCTATTTGTGTACTGTGTCCTTTTCTGGAACCCATTCCTACTGTCTGTAGTATTTTCAGACCTTGCCATACATCCCACCGTGTGCAGGGAGGGCAGATGTCAGTTTTTACAGTTTTGCGCAAACCCTTTCACCCAAAACAGAGATAGACGGCCCTTTCTGATCCCACTTAACAGCTGAGGGATGTGTATGGACTCACACTCTCCTGGCCTCCTGCCGAAGTGGAGCGCATACAGAGTGCTCAAAGTCCACATGTCCTGTCTGTTCATTGTGCCTGCATTCATAGATAATATTCTGACAGCCTTCTCGTGTGCAGTCAGTTCTCTTCTATGAAATTAGAGAAGGTTGAAATTGGGGCAAGTTGCAGGAATTTGGGGTGTGAAGAAGCCACAGCAGTCCTGGGTATGCAGCCAACTGAATAATATGCTATTAACCAAGAATGATGTTTTCCAGCCAGAGGTTAAGCAGAATTACTCAGGAGTCTTTCTGAGAGACGCAGGTCCGTGAGGAACCACAAAACCCTTGTCCTTTCACTAAGATGGGGAGGAGATGTGAAGGCACACACACACACACACACACACAGAGCGAGAGAGAGAGAGAGAGAGAGAGAGAGAGAGAAAGAGAGAGAGAGAGAGAGAGAAACCAAAACTCCCCAATAAAATCCTCACACCTGTTGGCACCTTCCCCTTGCCCCTTTGAGGACACCAGGCCAGAACTGACAAGACTCAGGGACATCATTGCATAGACATAGTCTTGATATATCACTTACAAATTGACACCTGAAACTCTTTTAAAACATTCTATGGGTCACTTAACAAACTGAGAACCTGCTCTTCCTCTAAATGGAAAAAATCATTGTCCTTATTAAAATATTAATGATTGGGGATGGTACATTTTATACTATATCTTAGCACTGTCCTAGGTTGTGTAAACAGAACAAGTAATCATAGGATAATGACTATAATTTTATAAGTTAGTTATAAATAATAAAAAATCCACTCATTACTCAGAATCTTCCATATGACTCAAATCTCTTAAACCCAAGTAGGTGATAAACAAGAAACACCTACCTTTTATAAAATTTCACAAAGTAAGTTGGGCTTTTGGTGAAAATGGAACATATCTACAAAATCTACTTATTTATATATTTATTTATGTCTTCTCATGGTATATGATCTATGAAATATTGGTGAAATTGTGTCCCCAGCTCTGGAGCTACATACGCAGGTGCAAAAGAAAGGGGAATAGCAGGAGCCGGGGAGAGGAGAGACAGGATAGTGGGAGGAGGGATGGGTAGGGGGAATGGATAGGGAGGAAAGGGAGGGGGAGGGGGAGGAGGGAAGAGGATGCTTGCATTTAGTATTAGTCTTTCCGGAATGACTTACTGGTCTGTAGCGGAGAGCAAAGCTCGCCTAGTCTGTTTGCACCATGCACACTCTGACCTGGCACTGTTTCTGTTATCATTCCCTATAGGTCATTCACGTCTGCCTTCCTGTTCTCCATTGAGGTTCAAGTGACCATTGGGTTTGGAGGGAGAATGATGACTGAGGAATGTCCTCTGGCCATCACGGTTTTGATTCTGCAGAACATTGTGGGTCTGATCATCAATGCGGTCATGTTGGGCTGCATCTTCATGAAAACAGCTCAAGCCCACAGAAGGGCGGAGACTCTGATTTTCAGCCGCCATGCTGTGATCGCGGTCCGCAACGGCAAGCTGTGCTTCATGTTCCGGGTGGGCGACCTGAGGAAGAGCATGATCATTAGTGCCTCGGTGCGCATCCAGGTAGTCAAGAAAACGACGACACCGGAAGGGGAGGTGGTCCCTATTCATCAGCTGGACATCCCGGTGGACAATCCCATCGAGAGCAACAACATCTTCCTAGTGGCGCCTTTGATCATCTGCCATGTGATTGACAAGCGCAGCCCCCTGTATGATATCTCAGCGACTGACCTTGTCAACCAAGACCTGGAGGTCATTGTGATCCTCGAGGGTGTGGTGGAAACCACTGGCATCACCACACAAGCACGGACCTCCTACATTGCCGAGGAGATCCAGTGGGGCCACCGCTTCGTGTCGATTGTGACCGAGGAGGAGGGAGTGTACTCCGTGGACTATTCCAAATTTGGTAATACTGTGAAGGTGGCTGCCCCAAGATGCAGTGCCCGGGAGCTGGATGAGAAGCCTTCCATCCTGATCCAGACCCTCCAAAAGAGCGAACTGTCGCACCAGAATTCTCTGCGGAAGCGCAACTCCATGAGAAGAAACAACTCCATGAGAAGAAACAACTCCATCCGAAGGAATAACTCTTCCCTCATGGTGCCTAAGGTGCAGTTCATGACTCCAGAAGGAAACCAGTGCCCATCGGAATCATGACTGCAGGGTGACCCCGAGACAGTCACTCTGAGTTCTGATGACTGACAGCCCGGAGACAGTCAGTCATTGAGTTCTGATGACTGAATATTGGACTGGCCACCAAGACAGGACTGGAACACAGTATTCATATTTTGATGAACTGAAAAATGTTCATATTCAAGAAACAAAACTTCCCTTATTAATAAACAATAACGCACAAAGCAGAGGCCTCCTGGCTCACACTTGTTTCACACACAGAAGGTCTCTGTGATGTGCTAAAGTATAGGAAATGGAAGCTATTCATGTCTTTCATTTTGAAACACAACTTGGCTCTATCTGAAACGTGTAATTGGTGAGATCGCTGGCTGTTCTGCTTTTGTTGCTCATTCTGCTACTGCAGATAGACTAGGAAGGGGAATCTCCGATCACGTTAAGCACTTTTTATATACCAATGTTGTCTCTCCTCATGATGCTGCATGTGGTAGAAGCATAAAGAAAGCCTCTTAGGTCTGTCTGTTTCTAAGCACCATTTGATCGCTCACTAGCCCTGAATACTAACTTCTCTTCACAGTCTGTGGGTGGAACTGGACAGGAGTCTGTGGGTCTTAGCTCTTATACAAGCAATTTCTCAGTTTTCCACTTTTAAGAGCTCTTTCACCAAGAAACACTGTACTGAATGCTCTATTAAAACATTTCCTTCATTCTCACCGTGTGGTTTTATCAGTCCTCTTACACAAAATCATCTCAAATTAATCCCCCAAAAGACATTTTTAGAGGCTTGCAGTCACGTAGTGGCAACCCTGACTTCTAAGAGTCCATTCTCAGACCTGTGGCCAAAGAGAATTGCAGATTTTTTCCCTTTGGGGGTTTATTTGACTTTGGGTTTGACAATGTTCTTCTGGTATTTCTTTCTGAGTGTAAGATGTCATGGAAACCGGAGCTCTTTATCTCTGAATCTCCTACATCTTGTCTTAAAGCCATATTTTCTTCCCAGCAGTCTCTGTAGTCAGTCAGCTGGCCTGCATGACTGATCATTGTGTCACTTGGCTAAAATGAGATCTCTAGCCAAGCACGATTGAACCACATGGGCCATCATGAATATGTTAGAAGACTCACAGTTCTAACCAGGTGAATAGCAACTGTTGGGTTAAGTAAATTATTCATAAAAATGTTCAGACTTGGAACTCTAGACCCACAGGCCACACAGGTACTTGAAGCTCCGCTTGCCCGTTTAACAAAACACTCAAAAACTCTTGTGTCATTAGGAATCAATGTGTTCTTTGAGTGTAGGGATGCAGCTCAGGGGATGGAGTGCTCACCTAACAAGAAGGATAACACTCTGGGTTTGGTTCCCAGTACCTCACCGTGTAAACCAAGTACAGTGGTGAAACACCTGTAATCCTAACCTTGGAGACTGAGGCAGGAGGATCATAAGTTCAAGTCATTCTCAGCTATATGTCAAGTCTGAGCCCAGCCTGTACAACCCAAAAACTGAAAAAGAAAATAAAAATTATCAACAACTCCCCCCACACACCACAATGCTTTAATCCCGGTCAAAAAAAAAACATTCCTCTCTAATCTTCTAGTCACTCAGACCAACACCTGGGGATCATACTCGATGGCCTTTCCTGTGCCATCCGCTAGCAAATCTGCACACTCATTATATATCCATAGTATAGCCGTCTCCTTCTACACCTCCTTCCTTCTCTACTAAGGCCTGCTTCCCACAGGGTGCACACCAGCCAACCTGCCTAACACACTTGGTGAACTCTAAGTCAGTGAGAGACCCTTGACTCAGGAACATACGTATAGAATAGTGTGCTTGTGTATGCATGTGTGCACACACGCACAGCCACACACACACACTATTTGTTTTTTCTCTTTCTGTATGTGTATATACCTTTATATACACACACACATATATGTATACATATATATATATAATTTTACTTCTATATTAAGTGTGAATACTATTTTATATTCAATATTTAGAGTTTTTCTTTTCACTCAAGTCTTTATTCAGCAGGCATGCCTTTTGAAGTCCTAAATCATGTTATACTATACCTCTTCTTAAAAGCCTCCAATGTTGTTCCATTTTTCTCAAGATGAAAATGAAATTCTTCCCAAGAACCATAAGCCACTATATGAAATCATGTCCACCTTCAACTACATTGACTCCTCTGTTATTTAGGGAGGGGACTTTTTGTGTGTTTGATTGGTTGATTGGTTTCTACAGTGTGTGTGTGTGTGTGTGTGTGTGTGTGTGTGTGTACGTGCGCGCATGCACGCACACGCAAGTTCATGCATCTGTCTGTCTGTCTGTTTTACAAACTCTCACGTTGTAGCCTATGCTGACCTGGCATTCACTATGTATCCCAGGCTGGCTTTAGACTCACAGCAATTCTCTCTATGTGTGCAGTTCCCAAAGAGGCCAGGAGAGGTCTTCCGATTCCCTGAAATTGGAGTGCAGATGGTTAAGAGACCTTAATTTGAGTGCTAGGAACTGAACCCAGGTTCTCTGCGGGAGCAGCCAGTGCTCTTTACTGCTGAGACAACTCTCCAGCTCCTGCAACAATCATTTGGTAAGTAAGGAAAGCAACAAATACTTAAACAACACTTCTGCCATTTAAATAGCAGAAATTGTGTGACTGTTCAATACGGAGTTCTCTTGTGTCTGGGTTCCTTTTGGAAATCATTAAAAACAATTGCATTTCCTTAGAGAAAACTTCCTCTTTTTAACCCTTTGTTACAGAAAATCTCAGCAGTGCAAAACACAACAGTGCAAGTATTACTGTAGTGACTCCTACACACTCACCACTTGCCTCACTAATGGTGTATCCATGACCGTTTTTCATCTGTCACCCGTTCCCCTGCTGTAGTGGTTTGGATGTCCACCACAGGCTCATGTGTTTGAACACTTGGTCCCTAGCTGGGGTTGGAAGGTGGTGGAACCTTTAGAACTGTGTTTTTCAGCCTGTAGATCATGACCCCTTTGGGGACAACCCTTTTGAATGGGTCACATATCAGATAGACATTTATATTATGATTCATAACAGTAGCAAAGTTACATTTACGAACTAGCAATGAAAACGATTTTATGGTTGGGTTCACCACGATGTGAGGAACTGTATTAAAGGGTGGCAGCATTAGGAAGGTTGGGAACCACTACTTGGGAAGGTAGAGCCCATAGGAAGAAGGTTGGGAACTATTACTTGAGAAGGTAGAGCCCATAGGAGGAAGGTTGGGAACCACTACTTGAGAAGGTAGAGCCCATAGGAGGAAGGTTGGGAACCACTACTTGGGAAGGTAGAGCCCATAGGAGGAAGGTTGGGAACCACTACTTGAGAAGGTAGAGCCCATAGGAGGAAGGTTGGGAACTATTACTTGAGAAGGTAGAGCCCATAGGAGGAAGGTTGGGAACCACTACTTGGGAAGGTAGAGCCCATAGGAGGAAGGTTGGGAACCACTACTTGAGAAGGTAGAGCCCATAGGAGGAGGGTTGGGAACCACTACTTGAGAAGGTAGAGCCCATAGGAGGAAGGTTGGGAACTATTACTTGAGAAGGTAGAGCCCATAGGAGGAAGGTTGGGAACTATTACTTGAGAAGGTAGAGCCCATAGGAGGAAGGTTGGGAACCACTACTTGAGAAGGTAGAGCCCATAGGAGGAGGGTTGGGAACCAATACTTGAGAAGGTAGAGCCCATAGGAGGAGGCAAGTCACTAGAAGCTGTAGCACGGATAATAAAAACCCAGAGACAGACATTGGGGCTCAAGTTGAAGATCAGAAAAGCAAAGCAGTAAGCCACTAGAGAGTTCTCATGTCAGATCTAAGGGGTGATCCACTGAACCTCAGATCACATCTCCAGACTGCACTGCTCTCCGCCAAGCCTCAGAATCCTAGACTGCCCTGCTCTCCTCAGCGTGGCTGGAAACTAGCTGTCACATGAGACTCTTTGCTTCTTTCTTATATACCTCTCTAGGGCTGGAATTAAAGGCATGATCTCGTTAAGACTGATTCACTCTTAAATAGCCCTGGGTGGCCTTGAACTCAGAGAGATCTGTCTGCCTCTGTCTCCTGAGTCCTGGACTAAAGGTGTGACCACTACTGCCCAGCTTCTGTGGCTAACCAGTGAGGCTGACTTTGCATTCAGATCCCCAGGCAAGCTTTATTAAATCGTAAACAACACATCACCACAAGAAGCCAGTCTTGAGGCTTGATAGAATCTCCCCACTTCCTGTCTACTGTCTGCTTCCTAACTGTGATCAGTTACTTCATGGAGCTACTGCCAAGCCTTCTTCACCCCGATGGATTATATCCAGTTGATTATGTGCGTATACATAAGCGCAGTGCCCACAGGCCAGATCTGGGTATCAGATCTCCTGGAGCTGCAGCTCTGGGCATCTGAAAACTGCCATGCGGGTGTTAAACTCCAGGAGTGCCACATTGCTCTTGTAGACCAGACTGGTCTTGAACTCACAGAGATCCACCCGCCTCTGCCTCCTAAGTGCTGGGATTAAAGGCGTGCGCCACCAACGCCCGGCCACATTGCTCTTGGCACTCTATGTCCCAAGTGAAATTTTCCTGGACGGGGAATTGGAAATGGCTTATTGGCTTTTGTTCAAAGTCCTTTAATTCAAAACAAGGCACATAGCCACTGGGACAACAGACGAGGAATGTCAAGTCTATAGCCGAATGGTCAAGTTCCCAGAAAAGCAGAAACTGTAGGCTGGGAGGAGAGGGCAACTGTCACCCTCCGGTCACCACGCATCTGAGGCAAACACGGTGATAAACGTCTGAAGACGAGTACAGTGGGGGAGACTTAGCTGATTTCACAAACCTACAGTGAAATAACCGTAAGGGGAAGCCCACACTGTGGGGAAAGTTTCAGTGAGAGATCTGAAAGGAAACACACAAGCGTAGTTTGTTTAAAGTGAGAATTTTAGCCTCAGTAGCTTACAGGTCTGTGGGAGGCACTAAGTATAGATGCAGGACTCGGTGAACTTGAAGAACCGTGAGGTGTTGGGAGCGAAGGCGGAAAATCAACCCAGAAAGCCACATCAAGTTCAACTAGAAAGGCCTTGGCTGTCGACCCTGGAAAAGCTGGTCTTTCTCCAGTGGTGGATGTCAAACACTTAAAGCCTTCTGAGAACTCTACTGACCTGTAGCATTTTTAACAGAGGGAGACTGTGACTTTTAATATTGCGTGTGACTGTCTCTTTCTTTGTTTGTCAATACGTGCGGAAGCAACCCAGTAGTACGAAGGTATTTGACCTCAGTGTGTGTGTGTGTGTGTGTGTGTGTGTATGTTTGTATATGAAGATGTGTGCACATGGTGGGTGGGTGTGCACAGGTACAAATATACAAGTGGAAACCAGAGACTGATATTGGGTCATTTAGCCCTCACTCTTTTATTTTTGAGAAAACTCCAGGGATTTGCCTGTCCCTGCTCCCATGCCATTGGTGCTACAGAAACATGAGGCAATCCTAGCTTTTTATGTGGGTTCTGGAGTCCAAATTTAGCTCCGCCTGTTTGCACAGCAAGCGCTTCGCCCACTGAGCCGTGTCCCCAGTACTAAGCAATAATTTTTAAGTTATTAAAATAAACTGTGCTCCATACAAAAGTTTCATCTCAGCTACCGCTGAGAGCATCAGAGGCAGGGAGGTATGGCTTAGAGTATGGTCAGCAAAGCCGCCAGGGGGACAGAG